CATAATAACATAACAGCAAGTAAAACTTAGTAAATAAACATTCAATATAACACACAATGAAAACAAAAAACAAAACCAAAGAATTCAACAAAACTCAATGCAAAGTATTTATATAAGTAAAACAAGCTACAAACTGGTTTTCTGTTACTAATAATTTTTTAACAGAACAAATATAAGGTTTTTGCTAAATAACAGAAAGGAAAACAGTAAAGAAATTTTATGCAAAAAGAATCACTTTAAAACCTTTTATAAAACTCCTATTGTGACCAAAATAATTTTTTCCTACTAAGATAAGAAGACATAAATAACTAAAAACATTTTTTAATAAAAATAAATTACTACTATTAACTATACTGAACCTAATATGAACATGTCAAAAAGAATGTAATAAAACAATATAAATCAATTAAAATTAAAAGAAATCACACAAAAGTTGTAAAATACAAAAGTAGTATTGTTTTCATGATTATCTAATTTTAATTAATACTAAAATTCACCAAATTAATCCTACTGGTAAACAATGTCATAACTGACCAGTAGCAAAAAAGAATCATTAAAAAATATTATTCCTAGCTCAAGTTATTGCAAATCTAGTGATTTGAACAATTTTCATGCAAATTCAAATTTGGAGTTTCAAACATGGTCAAACCTGATATCTACAGAAACTTTAAGAAATTTCCAACCTAATGCAAAAAGAATCAAATAAAAAATAATAATAAATCCTAGGAGGTATTAACAATCTAAGATTGAAACTTTTCTGTTTAAAAAAACAGAAACCAAAATACACTAAAAAACAAAACGGGCAAGAGCTACATGGCCTACTACTATTGGGCTAGAGAGGTGGGTGATCCGAAGCTATACGGCGCTCGGCTGATACTTAAATAAAACGCGAACGTGCAAAAAGGAAAACAGGCTGAACCGATTCGATCTAAACCGTACTAAAAACCCGATCTAAAGTATAATAAAATAAACCTAACTGTTCATGATCTAATCTAGGACGATAGATGATGATCTAACGGATGTGAGAGGGCAGCGGCTTTCAGCGGCTGTTGATTGCGATGGACGGCGGCGGTGGCTCGGGCGTCGTGGTGGCGGTGGCTCCGGCGGTCGAGGGGTGATGGCGGAGTGGCCGGGCTGGTTCGGCGCAGAGAGGGGAGGTCGAGATGGACTCTGCGGAGGTTCGAGAAGACGCAGGTGAGCGGGGCGATGCGGTGGCGGCTCGGTGCTCCGGTGGAGCGCGCGAGGTCAGGGCAACTCCTGTAGGTGACACAGGTGAGCAATAAGTTGTCAAACGAGTTCGTGGAGCTGAGCTAGGCCGTTGGTCGGAGTTAGGAAGGTTAGTGTAGCTCATCAGCGACGGAAAACGACGTCGGACTGCGGCGGCGGTCGTGAGATCGGGATGGAGAGGGCGACGGTCGTGGAGGGTTTTGGCGAGGGTTTCTAGGGAGATTCGAGCTAGAAGAGGAGGGGCTATTTATAAGACACATACTTGGAGGAGGGGGCAAGCCGAGTTGGCGATCCCGAGAAGATCGGCCGCAGCGGCGGTGTCGAACGCCATCCGGAGACGGTCGCATCCGTTGCGGGAGGATGGAGACGTTGCGGGCCCAGTAGTCAGTGACAACGGGGAGGTGGTGCGTGGGTCAGGCGACCAGGCCGAAGTGGCTTCGGGCGCAAGAGCGGGCAAGGCAGGCAGCAACAGCTGGGCTGGCTGGGTTTTGGGCCGACTGGCCTGGCTAGCGCTAGGAGTTTTTTCTGAATTTAGAAAAGAAAACGAGGAAAATAGAGAAAATAAAGATAACTTCATATAGACAATTTATATATGTAAATGATCATTAAAATAAATCCTATATGGTGAACTATTTTTCTGATGCAAAAACCAAAATTTATAAAAATCCTTTTTTTTAATTCCAAATAAACCAAATTTTGAATTCAAATACTTCTGGGATTGTTTTATTCTGACTTATTGGAGTGTCATGTTATCTCCTCTCATACTTTTTATCAAAGTATTTGTCAGGAATTTTTAAAAATAATTTCAAATGCCAATTGAAGTGAATTTCAAATTCAAACGGAAAATATCAAAATGCCTCTGAAGTTTTCAAATTCCACCACAATTCAATCAAGATGCAACAGATACTTAGATATAATTGTAAAACATTTCAAATTGAAAAGTTGGTATGTTACAGAAAATGTTTGCCCCTAATGGGCTGGAAGTGATACTTGTCGTTGGCGGTGTTCCTAGCATGACAAGCCAACATCACTGATTCGTTCATCTAAATTGACCAATATTTAAACTTACGAAATGTAGAGCAATATACTCTATAAATAATCCATACAACCATGATACGTTGATAATCTGAACATAGTAAGTATTCATCATACATAAAAGGATCCCACACACGAGTTACATGCAGATGATGACAAGCATGTAGGGCAGCCCACTCGATCTAAGCATGGAAGCACAAAGAGAGGTTGGCTACATCACAACTAGTATGAATCTGTAGTTAATGGGATGGACAACTCATAGCTCATCTACCAGCCGAGAAGAATGAGCTATTGGTGTAGATGGGTTTGACCTTGGATGGCTCATAGATTGAAG